TTTATTTATTTGTTTATTTGACAGGGACAGTACAATTAAACATTGCAACCAAAGAGGTGGCCGATGTCCAACTACATAAGGCTTGTAGCCATGGGCTAATTTGCAGCCTTCGTCCCTGTCTCTTAGTGGGACTTCGTTTTAGAATAGAGAAACTGGGATTTAAAGGACCTCTGAAAAGGACCGGAAGGCCTAGTTTGGGTTGGATGGAGTCTGGGTCCTCAAACAGAGTAACTGGAACTTCATCCTTATTCTGAAACAGGTTAAAGTCTTTTAAAGAATTAGGGTTAGGGTTAATGACACCAAATCCAAATAGATCACACCAAATCTGGACTCTCTAGGATTTATTCTGACTCCAACAGATAAGGCCCATATGATATATGATAAGCGGAGAGGAAAGCCAAATTTATTTAATTATTTTGATTATTATATCTTGTTTTATTTGATACTTTATTATGAAATTGTTAAATTTGTTATGATTTAATACTTTATAATTAAGATTATTATATTTTTAGAATGATACATTTTATACGTTGTTTTATCATTTATCATTTCTGTGATTTTTTATTTTATTACATATATTTTTTATCATTTTATCACATGCATTTTTGTTATTTTATTACATATATTTTTATAATTTTATTACATACATTTTTATCATTTTATTACATATATGGGACAGGTAGGTTGAACAGAGGTTCAACAAGAAAATTTCACTAAATTTGGGACCCTTTGATTTGTACTTAGAAAGCCTCAGTACCTCCTATAAAATCGTCTGTTTTTTAAAATGTTTTATTTTATATATGGGTGGATGGATTTTTTTTTTATTTGATTGGTAAACAAAATTAAGAACAATTAATTGTATTTAAATCCATTTAAATGCACTATACCACCTTTCTTGACTGAAATATATGGTTTAAAAAGTTTAAAAAAGGAATATAAACATGACTCAGCTGTTTTTATTTCTGACCCTCAGCTTTGGAAAAGAAAGAGAAAAGAACGGCCAAGCCCCGGGACCTGACGCCCTTCGAAGGGATGGAGGTAAATACCTGTCTCCACACACACTCACCTGTCTCCACACACACTCACCTGTCTCCACACACACTTACCTGTCTCCACACACACTCACCTGTCTCCACACACACTCACCTGTCTCCACACACACTCACCTGTCTCCACAGGTGAACGAGGAGGCCGTGATAACGAAGGTGGAGGAGTATGTGGAGTTGCTTTACGAGGGTCTCCCAGAGAAGATCAGAGGCTCCGCCCTCATCCTGCAGCTGGCCCGTAACCCTGACAACCTGGAGGAGCTGCTGCACAACGGTAGGTCCCTGTTATGGAAAAAGTTATTTAAATGAGTCAGGCAAAGTTTCTTAATAATTAAAGAAGATCGATCTTGTCCAATAAAGAGATTTATTCAAAGGCAACAGCGTTCAAAGACGCAGGTCACAGAATAAACCCAAGTGAATGCGCCTGATGAAAAGGCACGTCCCCTTTTATAACATAGTGTGGATAAAAGAATGGAAAAGGCCACTGTGTTTCTTATCAGCAACAAACAAAGAGATTCTAGTTTACATTCAGTCCTCAGGAAGTCCCATGGAGAATCTCCAAAGGGA